TACAGAAATATTTTGGCTATGCCACTGAGCTAGAGAACTCCCTCTCAAGCTGTAATTAAAAATTCTAGCCGGGAAGGGTCAATTAAATCATCAAGTTACAATGAGACACTGAGCCCAATCAAAGCAATTTAACTTTTGCTGGTTTACAGAAATTTTATTACGAAACATCTTAACTTAATTACCAGCCATACAAAGATTATGATATATGCCAAGAATACAGGAATGTTAATTGGTAAGAAAAACATTTTAATTATTTTTATTTTGAAGGCCATGAACTACATTAATGTCAGTATCAACAGTATAACTGATAATTCAGTTGACATTACTAATTATTTTATGTGTTCTAAAAGTATGTAAATATATTTGATTGATAATATATAGAGAAAAGAAAACCATAGCAAATTTCTATAAAACACGAAAATGAAACTAGATACGAAGTACTTCTTCACTGAAATTGTCCCCAGACTTGGACTGAATCAAGTAATTTTAGTAGTACCTACCTTCGCAGTACATTCCCTCGTAGTCATCTGGGCATCTATGTTAAAATAGGAAGAAAAATGATAAACATGAGCGCCATTATCCAAAAAATGAGAATTAAAATTAAGAACTATATTTACAGAATATGCAGAATTCATAGAATCCAAGAACGTTCTGCCATCTTTTTTCACGGATTTTTTTTCTTCTGCAAAATTAATGATTTTCTTTACAGTAAACAGAAAATGAACATAGAAACAATGAAAACATTTACCTGCATATTGGTTGCAAGTATTCCTCAGTACAAGTCGCTCCGTTTTCACAATACCCTTCACACATATTACCAATTTCAGAGACATCCAACACTAAAACACGAACGATAAAACATACTACATGATTATTTAACAAAAACACACATCCATTTCTAAGATAACTAACTTAAATCTAGCACATAATATAATAGAGAAAGGTAGAGAGACGTTTTGGGCAGAACAGTTTGAATATATTACTTTTAATAAGTAATTTTTTTTCAGGAATGCGACATTCAATATCTCCTACCTGACGATATAGTAGTCAAATGTTAAATCTTAAAGCAGTATTATATAAAATTGTATGTTTAGGATAATAATTAATGTACAAATAATAACATGATTCGATATTAATATACAACATACAAGATAAAATGTATTATCTCCAACAAACACGAAGAAATTACAAAGCTCGCAAGGAAGAAATTGTACAATTCAAACAAATTACATTAACATTTATAAAACAACTTGAAAGGTTTGAACATTTTAAAAAGGATATTATACTAAAATGGGAATATAGTTTGTAACGGATATGTGTTATTCAATCACAGTATGAGGGATATATTGGTTGATTATAGCACTCATAAAATTGGAAATATTTTGAGAGCAAACATAATATTAAACTTCGTATAGCCATTTACTCACGTGTAGCAGATACCAAATTCAACTGCACTGACCCAGTACCCATTAGTTGTTCCTCAACGAACGTTTGATTTATTGATGATCCAAGAACAAAGTATACTGTGAACACTGAAATGACACTACCCTCTTGGAAACCGATTATGTAGTTTCCGAGATAATCGGTGATATTTACAAATGTATCATCAATCTAGGAGAGTAATTAAGACATGCTTACCAGTTTAATGATTTTATTTTGTCCGTGTTTGGTTTTATTTTAACCTGACTAGCATAAACAAAAAATTGTTATTGTCTGATGAAGTGTAAGTAATGATACTATTAGTCTGCGGTGGCCATATTTTTGTTTTTTGTTGCTAAGACTAAATAAAAGTTTCAATCTCATTTCATTTACTTCGTCCAAAAAACATTAAAATTGACAAACACAAGATAACAGAGAGCAAAAACAAAAAGTAAACTGAATCACTGTCTAGTGGCTCTCCGATGCCAATGAGAAAATAAATTAAATTAGCATAAAATATTTAAGTAAAATAGGCCAATCAATAAAATTTTAAATTTAAAAATATATATGTACAAAATCATCAGTGAAATCGGTCAAAATACAATAAAATAATTTAAAAAAATGCAGCGAGAAACAAAGTTAAAAAGTTCGTTTTACAATGGTAAAATTCGAGACGATAAATTAAAATAGAATTATTGCTTAGGATAAAATAGTTTTATAATTCCGATAAAAGATTTATTTCCGAAAACAAGTTCATCTCGAACAAGTTGAAACATATTAGGCCTGTAATAAAGAAGCTCCCCGAAGGTTTAAAGTGAATTAAATTGTAGTGGGCACCCAGAAACATCGAAGTGAAATATATAATGGGTAAGTTGGCTTACAAAGTTTGACAAAGTTGATGAGTAGTTTTGGTATATTATAGATTCCTTTTTATTCAGGTCGTCTGTCCATTCTGGCTGTCCATTGTTGATTTTACTGATAGTTCCTGTAACTCTAAACGTCTTTGATTCTAGAAGGAATGAGCAGACATCAAAAAGTGCACTAATGAATGAATATTACAACTCGTTTCAGTCCAATTTTATGGTTAATTAGCACAATAATATGAATACACAAGAACGTAGACGACGATACCTCTAATGAATATAGATATGTTAAATATTAGAAGAGGATTTCATTATTATATTTCAATAATTATAGGTACAAAAGTAACTTACTAATTAATGTCACTCAAGTTGATGACCTCTTTTAGTGCTCGACGACGGCTTTTTTTTTTTTTTTTTTTTTTTTTTTTTTTTTTTGGTGCTGTCCACAGAGGCATAACTGGGCATCCCTCTCCAATGTACTTTGCATTACACTATTATTTAAAAATGAGTCCATTTGTAAACAAACATACCTGAGCAGTCGCCGTCTCTACTCGTGTTCACAAATCCAATATCACAAGTACAATAATAGCTACCATCTTCATTTACACATCCCTCTATATGCTCGCCATTACATGGAGACTGTTCTTTACACTCGTCGATATCTATATATATTTTTAACATAAATCAAAACATGTTCAAACATTTATATTCTAAATACAACTTAAATAGTAATATGATAATATATCTTTGCGAAGACATACATATTGTTTGCTTTCGTTACTAAAAATACTATGTACATCATCTGTTAATTAATATTATGCGAAACACGTTACTGTATTTTGAAATTATTCGAAATAAAAAAACAAAAATAAACTAACAAAACAAAATAATAATTTTATAATATTGGCCAACATATTTTAAGAAATAAATTAGCCTAATTACCAATACAGACAAAGTTGTCTTCAGATTCAGAGTATCCAAGCGAACAGTCTGCGCATGTGTAGTTGTTATCTACCCCGTTAAATACACACCGATCGAAGTTTCTATCTCTGCAATCATCAGTGTTTTCTTCACACGGATTTATAACTGAAATATAAGTAAGGCCTCATGTAAAACAAGCTTATTTTCCTTCTTTAAATTATACTGTCTCTAAGTTGAAAAAAAAAAACTATAAACACCAGCAATGATTCAAAATAATAATTTCCTGATGATGACATAATTAATGTCGAAATATTGAATCCCAACACGATGGCGTGTATTTCAATACTTGGAGTATGTATTATACTTTCTTATCTGAGATTAATCAGTGGACCTTTCGGTTTCAGCAATGATACCGGTATGTAAATATTTTATTTGCATATAATTGTATATCTAAGTAACCTTTTTAGTTCTTAATTGAAAAAACCATGTCCTTAGGCTCAAAATCTGGTCAAAACTCTTGGATTTGAGTTTCTTAACATGCCTTAAAATCACAATGTATACAAGTTCGAGATATAGCTTTCTAAAAACTATTCACAAACGGTTGTATCTTATAGATGATCATTGATCACAAGAGACAATGTCAAAATTGTGACATCAATCTAGAATTACCACAAAACTTCGTGGGCAAGTGATTATGTCCCGGGTACTATTTCATTACGTTTCGATTAGAATATTTATACAATATATATACCTGGCACATCAACATATAAGCTACTGAGTTCTACGTAGCTATCAGGTACTAGCAAATTTCTGTTGTTCCCTTCTAGTCCATCTAAGAACACTGTTTTTGTGTCATCTATCGTAAGGTTGGTGTTTGGGATCAGATCAATTCGAAAATTGACGTCAACAACGGATTCCATGATGATGAATGATGACACCCCGACTTCTAAGAACTCTTCCCGTACTGAACTACGATTGAATAGATCGAAAACCTGCAATTGAAAAATATAAAAATGCTCATATGTCACCATTTTAACTAATTTAAAAGTCAGCAGTAAGATCGTTAGTTCTATGTTTTTATTTGGTTTACCCTTTGGTAAGGACTTGAATTTATTATCACGGAACTAATTACTTGATTGAAAAGGCATTTTATATTTATCATTGTTTTTGTTGTTGGTAATATCTAGGATATTTTTAGAAGCTCTTTGATTGTAACTTGACAGTAATGAACCTTTAATTTAATAAATACATAAAAAATGATTATAGAAAAAAAAAATTCGATGAAATTTTAGCAGAATAAAGATGTTCATTATTCTTTTTTTGCAATGGAACATATATTTTCAAACCAACAAACAAGATTCAGTAATCTGAGATTACAAATCTTCACCTTGTTGTGCCATACCTATATACAGAAAAAATAATGGCCTGCGCTTGATCCGCTCGAGTCGGCTCGGCCTAGCCAAACGAGGCCTATCATCATAGACCTCAATCAATCATCAATCGGGTGAGTTTGCACGCCGGCCGGACTTCCTCTAGTCCGACCGCCAGAATTTGACACGTACCCCTACTCTGGAGTCGGCTCGGTATAGCCAAACGAGCCAAAAGATTCGCTCGAGTTGGCTCGGTCTTTATTATGCAGCCAGGAAAATATGTAAATAACATTCTAAAATCTGCATCTTACATCCGATCACCACAAAATTGGAGGAGGACTGAAATATATGTAACATTGCCAATGTGTGAATGTTTAAAGTAAATCCGTATACTAGTTTTTGAGTTATGCGCCTGGAAGGACACACAAACACATACATGCGCGCGCCAGTGCAATACCCTTCACCTCTGTTTGGGAGAGGCAGTAGATGCATCTTAAAAATGATGTTTGCTGTAATCGAATAACAATATTGTAGAACTAAACTGAGCTTACATCTTTAGCTAAGCTAACTTGCATCTGCTCGGTCTCAATGTCTTGATCAGTTGAGCCTATTTTAACACCTTTTACATCTGTGAACTCTACTTTTAATTCTTGTGTAGTTGCAACTAGAAAAGAATACAAATTTTATTCAGAATGTGATTACATGAGGTTTCATTCATTCGTACTGACTGATAAAATATTAAAACTCCTAAACACATCTAAAGCATTGAATATACACTTCCAATAAAAGGCAAATAAAAAAACAATTACTTTAGATTTTGTTGATGTACAGATGGTTTACTATGAAAATTCTACAATTTTTCTTTCAAAAAATTCGAAAGTCTATATAAAAAGTAATATTAACCCAATAATGCACCTGTTATGTCGAGAAAACTGATTAAAATCAGCTTCCTATATTTTGAAATATACAACAAGTAATTCAAATATTGAATTCTTTTGTTGAAGTTTGTTCACATAGAGTATACTAGAAAGCATACCACATATACTACCCAACTAAAATATACGCTCTACCAAGAAGAATCATGTATTTTCTATTCTAATCGCTTGTAACTTCTATTGAGTTTATTTTTTCATTGATTGTTATTAACAAAAATTACAATGTTTAGATACATGCATAGGCATAACCTTGCTGGAGGTACGCATACAGCCCTTAAACCAATATAAGGTTATGATTTACGTGTACTGGCTCTATGTGAGATACAAATTAAATAATAATATTTGATTATTACATAAACGATTCAAATGTTACCATAATGCTATACAAACCTGAACATGGTAAATTTGGGACGTCACGGTAGTATCCTGTCTGGCAAATACATTCAAACCCACCTACTATGTTGTCACACTTTTCATAGAGGCTTGAGTCGCACGGATAATCATAACACTCATTAATATCTTTAAAAAACAGAATAAAAACAAAACAATGTGAACAAAAATATGTAAATAAAACATGTTTTAAAGTAAATGGATTGCATTGAATTTATTGGTGTGAAAACCCCTTGATGTTTGAATGTTGTATAGGCCGAATTTAAATTGAGAAGCCTGATAAAAGTACTTGAGAATGCATGTTGGTAACAGAAATGTCTAGGTATGCTGTTTAGGGAGATTCCAATGCATTTTGTTGTGGTTATGGTGTTTGTCTGGTAGTGCAGTCTGAACACGTTTTCTTTATTCTTTATATTATGCTTTGTTGTTTTAAGATATGGATTTCTGTATGAAATAAAAGACTGATTATTTTGATTTACTGATTATGTAATACGTCTATGTTTGGAAATTCCCAAAAGAATGTAGTAAAATATTGTTCGACTTACCTTCACAATGCGTTCCATTACCAGTAAACCCTTTGTTACAAACACAGTTGTACGAGCCGTCTGTGTCAATGCAACTGGCTCTGTCGCGCGTATCACAATCATCGAGATTATGAAAACATTCGTTTATGTCTAAAAGAAAAATATATGACATATTAAACTCTCAAACTTATTCCTTTGCTTTATAATTTTAAATTGTATTTTAATTGTATTATTTTAAAGAGAAAACTCCTTACGAGTTGAAGTAAGAACAGGCAACAAGTGACACTTGAAAAGTTACAGAACTTGTGTTTGTTTCTTTTTTCGGGTATAATTAACTATGGTAATTTAACTGTACACCACCATTATGTAGGTTTACGTAATAGTACTTACTAATACACGAGCCTTGGTTGTCACCACTATACTCAGAGCCATCATATCCGTCCTTACATACACAATAGTAACTACCATTCTCGTTAAAACAGTCTGCGTTAACACCACAAACCGATTGGCCGGACACGCATTCATTGATATCTAGAATGAATTAAAAAAAAAACATGTATGTTAGTGTGTCTGGTACTGTATTGTAGAACTCTCGTGTACACTTTTATAATATTATTAGATTAAATTGTTTTGAGAACTTGTAAGCAATCAACTTAGTCCCAAATTCCCATAATTCGATCAAAACGATTTTGAAAGACTTAGACAACCCGTCTGCAGTACTTTCCATCGTTTTAGATTATAGCTTAAAGCTATTGAAATTGTACCGCGTTATTCTGTCTTATCAGTAATTTTGTCTAATATTTCTGAAAATAAACTTACCGATGCAATTATCATTTTGGTCTTTAGAGTAACCATCACTACATATGCACAAGTATGATCCAATTGTGTCCTCGCAAACTGTATTCACGCCACATGTAGTTGGATTAAGACATTCGTTGTAATTTTGGCACGTGACACCGTTTCCATAGAAACCAGTGTTACAGAAACACATGAATGACCCCACTGAGTTTGTACATGTCGCATTTGCGTGACACTCGGAATCTTCAGAACTCTGATCACATTCATTGATATCTAAAGAAACAAAAAAAAAAAAAAATAAAAAAAAAAAAAAAATATTTCTGAAAATAAACTTACCGATGCAATTATCATTTTGGTCTTTAGAGTAACCATCACTACATATGCACAAGTATGATCCAATTGTGTCCTCGCAAACTGTATTCACGCCACATGCAGTTGGATTAAGACATTCGTTGTAATTTTGGCACGTGACACCGTTTCCATAGAAACCAGTGTTACAAAAACACATGAATGACCCCACTGAGTTTGTACATGTCGCATTTGCGTGACACTCGGAATCTTCAGAACTCTGATCACATTCATTGATATCTAAGGAAACAAAAAAATAAATAAATAAAAAAAACAAAATAAAAAAAAACAACAGAAACGTAATAAGCTAACTAGGCAAATTCAGCTCTAATTGGTTATAGCCTGAATAATAATAATAAAACAATATATAAAACCCAAAATATACTATATTTTGGGGCATATAGTTAAAAAAGCCCCCCCCCCCCCAAAAAAAAACGGGAAAAAAAAACCAGTCAATTCCCGCAAGCACCTTACCTGTGCATATGGTACCATCTTCATTGACACCGGTGTAACCAGTTTTACACTCACATTTAAATCCTCCAATAGTATTTATACAAACACCATTTACGTCGCATCGATCTCCTGAAGTGCATTCGTTAAAATCTATAAAAGAATTCATAAAAGTATCATTTGTTGTTTGATGTTATTCAATATTAAAAATTATGAAATGAGATTCAAGATTCAAGATTCAATTTCATTGGTGTATAAATTGACAAACGAAAAATATACAATAAAATAGTAAATTGAAAACGAGTAAAACAGGAGCCTATCTTTCAGTATTAGAAAAAAATAAGAGTGGAATACTTCCTTAAAGCATAAAAAATAAAGGTAACCCATTGAACTGCAAAATGTGTGAATGTTTTTTATTTAGTTTTCCAGTGCCTACCTAATGGATTCTAACTAGTGGATTATTTCAAGTATTCTCTTACACATTGCTTAATTGGAGCTATATTTTACTTGCATGTATCCAATACTACTAATTATGACCTTGTCACTGATGTTCCTTGCTCTTTAAAATGTTTTTTTGTTTGTTTGTTAACTGCACTCACACGTTCTTTTTAAAAACAACCGTAAAACCATCAAACGTGTCGAAAACGCAGAGTATCGATACATCGTATCTTTCTTTATTGTTCTGTCGTGGATGAAGTTGATACTTTGTTGTAATACATATAAATAAATGAAAGCGAGGTTTACCTTCACATTGATCACCATTCTGTATAAATCCAGTGTTGCATTCACATGTAAAAGAGCCGTTCGTGTTGTGACAGTTACTATTGTTTGGACACGAGTAACTGACCTCACATTCATTAATATCTATAGTAAAACAGTAATCACTTACCATATTAGTTACGATAGGACTAAACATTTTGAATATATATATATATATATAAAATTCAAATTTGTCTGCTGCGATCATGGTTTTGAAAAGTTATTACCGTGACCTCGAGCAGTTGATAAAATCATTTCGACAATTTTTATGGGATTACTGCATCTGCCGATGGCCCGTCGTGGTCAAACACGTCCATCATTAGAGACTGTTGACACTATCATTACTTTCTTTAATTGTTATGCAATTTATTGTCCTTTTGATTCCATTGTGTGTGATTTAATTGTAAAGTAATTTGATATTTTGTGATATTTTTTATTGTATGTTTTCTCCATATCTGGAGGTATTTTGAATTAAATTAAATTTTGAATTAATTCTCTTTGTAAAATTGTTTATTGAGCTCTATATATACGGTATTCATAGATTTTGCTAAAATCTGAACCATCCCTTTGAGATTTTAAAACATGTCCAGTTCGACCTAAATGTGGTCATTTATCAGCTAAATAAGTGTTCCTTTTTTAAATATAATTTTACCAGCAATAGATTTCATTATTATAGACTAAGTACGTCTGCTGTGCAAATGAACTTCAAATATGTAACAAGTCATGTGCAATGAATACATTTGAAAACTTGATACGGTGTAATTTTCTTTTAGTTGCCTCTAACGTCTGCGTATGGCAATTGACAAGCTGGCGTAAGTTTTTTTCTTTAAATTTAAATTATAATACGTCGATGCCTTACCATAACATTCATACCCAGTACCAATGTATCCACTTGAACACGTGCAGTTGTATCCTCCTTCTGTGTTTCCACAAATGGCATTGCTTGAACAATTATTTATAGCCAAGCATTCATCAATATCTGAAATAATAATAATAATAATAATAATAATAATAATAATAATAATAATAATAATATAAAAGTGTTTGTAGAATACATATTTTGCGAATGTAAAGTTGAGACAAACGTTGAGATTCAAACACAAGTCGACTCATTGAATACCGTTCGGTTACTCGGCCAGTCTGGCTATAGTGCCGCTGGTATTACCCATTTCGTCTTTCCCATTAGATAATTGATAAACATTACGTAGTCCTAATAAAAGTAAACTCCAAACCAAATGATTATATAAATATTATAAATTAAGCCAATTAATAATATTTAAAATAAAACAAAAGTGACTCCAAATAAAAAAAGCGAGGCCATATTACTTAACCTTTTGACTTTATTTAATCATCATCAGGAATGATGCTTGGTAAAGCTAAACACTATGTTTCGACTATATACGTTAGTTAGATCTGTGGAGATCCAATATTGTTTTATTGTTTCATATTGATTTGCCAATTGGCCTATGTATTGTCAACAAAGTAAAACGAATTTATATGTTCTCTCAGAACAAATTAAAATAAAGATGTTTGATAAATTGGTTGGTTGGTTGGTTGACAGGTAAATACAGAATGAAACTGAGGTTGTTGTGCATAAATGACCTATGACATACCTCTGCATGTTCTGAAGTCAGAGTCAAGCTCATATCCTTCTGAACAACTGCATTCATATCCACCAATCAAATTTGAACAAAACATTTCACAGGTGTTGTTTCCAGCACATTCATCCATATCTGAGAATGACAAACGCTTTTCATTTAATTTTTTTTATATTTAATAATCATCCAACCTCAAACAGAAAAAAACTTAAATTATAAACATACGCGAAAAAAAAAATAAATACTAATTATGATCACCAAAGAGGTACATTAAATTTGTGTAATGGGTGGCGTCATGAAAGCAAAGTATAAATGTTACAAATATCTTTGTGTACCCATAACAGGTTATATAATTTTTTTAAAATTTAAACGTCAAGATTAAAGTTGTTGAGAAATACATATTGTAACCAGCTAAATTCGAAACTAAGTCTCTTCGGTTAATCATCAGTACAGCCTTTTTTTCATTATTACTGTTACTGTCACATAGCTCTCCTTAGTATTTAATTAATAGCACTTTCAATGTTACAAAATTACAATATTTACATTATTATATCAATAAAAAGCCCTAATTATGTTGTTTGTCCCAATATTCATAAAATGAAAACCTGTATACTACCGGCATTTCCTGCTTACCTTTACAGGTTGAATTGTCTGTTAATTCAAAACCCAAATTACACAAACATTCCTCTACTTCATTTCCTTTGTAACAAGTTCCGTTTTCACAGTTAACGTCGCACGGTGATATTGCTGAATATTATAAAATACAATATAATATCTCTATATATCATTCAACAATCAATCAATCAATCTTTGTTTTTGAAAATGTTCACGAATTTGAATCTAAACTTCGCCAACATTATTTTCACACCTAATATTTTAATCTACTAATTTTTTTATATCGTAAACTCTTAGTTAATCTATTAGTTAATTTATTGCATTTAAAGTATTTATTTATTAAAGAGCAGGTTGCTTGTTAGAGGATTCCCTTAGATAAAATAGTATTAACAATAATAATATATTTATTAATATATTAAATTATTTACATACCGGTACACGTCACGCCATCTGATTCAAGTTGAAAACCTTCTTGACAAGAGCAAGTATAGAGTGGAACAGAATTACTACATACTTGAGTACATTCACTGATGCCAAGCAGACATTCGTCGATGTCTGAAAACAAAAATGGTATGTCATTTTATATTGCATAATACAATAATGATGCTTAATTTAGTTTTGATTATGCTTGACAAATGGTAATTTAATAGGCGTAACCAACCTTGGCAGCTCTCCTGGTTCTGTATGTAGCCTGGGTTACAAACACATTCGTACGTCCCTGGTAAATTTACACATGTGGCACCTGATCCACAAAGCATCGCATTGTCAGCACACTCATCATAATCTGAAAAAAATATATAAAGCAAACGCTTGTGTTACACAATTGTCAAAAAATGACGATAATATTAATAACAATATTAGAATATGAAATCAGTATTTTTGCTGACATTTTAGCAGGTATCCAGGTATACTTTCCAAGCATCAAGGTTCATCAAGAGCTGTGGCGGAAACAGAGTGGGAGGTTGGATATGAGTTTTAAAAAAACACTTCTCTCCGTGGGACGAGCATGGACCCCAGTCGTCAAACCTCACTTGAAGTCGTCTGTTAATTTGCCAAAAGTTATTTCTAACAATCCTGAACAATTCTATTATATATATATATATATATATATACTGACTTGATAAAGGGTTACGCCCGAAAGATCATATAGACCTACTTACCATTACACTTGTTGTCATCAAGGTAAAAACCAGTGTTACACCTACAATCACTAAGAACTTCAATACACGTAGAATTACCCGGACACTCCTTGGTGAGGCATACATTTAGTTCTTGGTAATAAACAAATAATTATTCAATATTTAGTAAAAGTTTATTTGGCCTACTAATTTCATTAAAATATTGTATTGGCCATTATTATATATTTCGTTATTTACAAAATATTGAAATATATTCCACTTCTCAATATGCATTTCTATTAGATATGTCACATTAAAAAAAATCAATCTCAAAGCTACGAACTATGGTAATTTTATTGCTGTCTGTGCAGATGCCTCAACCAACTGGGAAACTGGAGCTTCGTTAGGAATTCATTTTCGGTTAGGAGCAACTGATTTTTTACACTCTTGCACAGGCTTAGAACAGCGCTAGTTCTTTATGTATTGAAAATTACAGCTATATTGTATAATAATGTCAAAACTTACTGTTACAAATCTTCCCATCTCCCTCAAATCCTTCGGTGCAATTACATATATATCCTCCCGGTAAATTAATACAACTGGCATAGCGGTTGCAGTCATTGGATATCTGACATTCGTTGATGTCGTCACACTGCGTTCCATTACTGGTAAACCCTGTGTTGCATTCACAAATGTACGACCCTTCGGTGTTTGTACAAACCGCATTTACGTCACATACATCAGGAGTCATAGAACACTCGTCAATATCTATGAGACAGAAATTTATATAAAAAAACGCTTTTTATTTATCTGCAGCTTATTTAATATAAAACATAATGTCCGTCGAAAATAAATCTCTTTACGCCTGTATTCTCAAAACGAACTGTAGTCGAACTTTTAACTAGAACTTCATCTAGTCCCAGTTGCAACTCAACTTTGTATTTATAAACAACGTAGACGGCTGGCAAGCAACGACTACTAAACTAACAGTGAAAAGAGCTAATTTTAATAGCAGACGAAATTTTAGAGATCCGGTAACGCGGATAAATATTAAGCTGCCGTCTCTCGTTTTAAGAACACTGGGTTGTAGTTTTATTTTTTGTATTATGCCAAATGTTGTCAAACTATACTCCCCGCTTTATATATCATGTTTTTTCACTGTTGTTAAATTTAATTCTTGTGTCCTTTTATTTGATATATTATTTTTTTAAATCTTAAATGATATCGACAGGGCGTCATATACAGTATACGTCAACAGGGAATTAATGCAAAGAGAAAATATCAGCGACGGAATGTAAATGTAGAAATATTTTACATTAAATCTCATAACACACTGCTGGTATATAATATTAAATGATAATGTAAAAGAACTACAGTAGGCCTATACAAATTAGGTCTTAGATTGTAAATAGACGTCGAAGGATTACTAAACGAACCACAAGAAGTGTTAAAATTTTATTGCCTGTTTTGAGTTTTAATGTATATTTAGCCATTTTAATGTAGGCCTATTATACTTATATGGAACTACTGTTTTTCAATGACTTGAAAATGTACCCACTGCTATTTTCATATTGGACGAATGAATTTGAATCTGAATGTAAGTAATTAGGGGATCATCATATTTTATAAATGATATTTTATAAATCCAGATATGCAATGGAGAAGGTGACATTCAAACAAGCAAAACTACAACTACGTGTAGAATGTTTACAGAATATTCACAGGACGTGTTAAAAAAGTGTAGGATATTTTAAGTCAAAAACACATGGTAAATCTATCTACTTGATTGTTCATTGCAAAAACCCAATTCGTAGTTTTAACTGCGCATGCCCGTATCCAAGCTCAATCTATAAATTATGTTGTGCATATATTTATGTCGACTGATCTTAAAGCGAGAATGCGCAGTTCAAATACGAATTGGCCTATTGGTTGCTGCTGTCTTGTTGCATTCCCTATAGAATTGCGTCGGCAGACGACAGTCGGTACAGTATATGCCCGGCTTTGGAATGAGGAAACACGAAAGCAAGCTTACCTATGCAGTTGTATCCATCTCCTATGAAACCAGTTCGACATTCACACATATACGACCCAATGACATTGAAGCATGTGGCTTGCTCATGACAACCATTGTTAATGAAACATTCGTTTACATCTTTAAAAATGAACAACAAAATAAGAATTTCAGATCAGTGTTATAATTACTGAAAAATGGCTTAGCAGCTACGGACATATATTAGGTCGAAACGCAGAAAAGACACAAAAATATATGATTAGATAGCCTGTCAGTTATCTTATGCCTTGTAATCTAATACTTCGTCAGTTGTATTTAGAACTTTTAATAAGTTTTTACCTTCACAGATCAAACCATCACCCACGTAACCATCGTTGCACGTACAAGTGTAAGACCCGGCTGTATTGTTACATTCAGCATTGCTACTACAGTTGTTCATTTCTGCGCTGACACATTCATTAATATCTGAAGAAAAGATGAATTTTAAGAGTTATCTTAAATAAAACAAATGTATTAGGCCTACCCATAGAATATGCTAATTTTGAAGTTTAATTATGGGCACTGCAAGCGTACTCCAATATGTGGTTCTACAGTAGTTATATATTGTAGATATATTTTAAATTAAACAAATATGAAAACCAAATTGTTAAATTACATTATAATGGCAAAACGGTAAAGCAAACACTACAGTATAGTATAATATCTAGTGTAAGTAATACGCAGGTAAGCAAGACAAAACTTGTAAACGTAATAGTATTCTGTGAATGCACATGTCATCCCCACATAAAAAAAAATGGAGCAGATCTGAATAGAAAACATTGTTGTTTATTGAACAACTAAAGATTGATTCACACTATCAATTTCAAGTGGCAAATCTGTGTGATTTTTCCATATAGGCACAGTTTTGTCATTATCACACTCATATACAATATAGGCAAGTAATAGGGATGTGCCCCTTAAAACCTACATACATTTCCTATTATTTTCGTATTACATTTGATTTATCATGTTAAAATAGTTAATACATATTACACATTAAATAATCGCTATGGATATTATTCTACCGATTTCATGAAAGTCAGAGGTGTTGATAGGTGGAGCTGGCTTCACCCTATTTACGTCAGTCTAATAATATATCAGAGGAAAACAGTTTTAACTTACCCACGCAGTCACTTGATTCTTCAAGTTGCTGAAGTCTGTAGCCAACATAACATTCACATTCGTAACCTGGTGCCGTATTCTGACAATCCTGCTTACAGTCATGGGTTAAAAGCTGACATTCATCAACATCTGTGAAATTAAAAGACTTAAAGTAAATATTTTGCAAAGAAATAATATTTTGATCGCAAATGTCATGATCAGCGTTGGTTAGATTTGACCACCTGCACAAAATATTGTCAAAGTTTGGAATATGTTGTTTAAATAGATCTAATAGCGTAATAGGTGTCATGCAGACGAGGGGCTTAATTACCGGTACTCATTAAATAGGTCTGTGTCATAGAGGTGTTATAATGACCCTATACAAATTCGCGTTAAAATAAACATTTTAAGAATACAGACCCCAACATTTTGCCCCATTGCCATCGAATCCCATGGGACATTCTGAACACGTTGCATCTTCGGCAGGTGGAGAGTTGTCTAGACACGTAACGCCCGGATAGCAATAGTTTTCGGAGCATGCGTCGTATACGTTTCCGCAATCAGAACCAATGTAGCCAGACGGGCAGTCACACTCGACAAGCTTTGGATTGGAAAACAAGATTGAAAAATGGAATATTTTAGGTAAAATGTTATCATTTAATTTATCTCGTCACTTAAAAATTATCTCGTCCCTTAAAAATATAATAGAAGTCCTACATAATATTTCAGGCTTACTGTAACATAATCAAGCTTTAAATTAGTACAATAATATCTACTTTTCAGGACCACCACAATTACTTATAAGGCAACAACAGGAAGTTAATTGGATTATCTCTGATTTGAATTCACATTACATTTTCCAAAGAGGCATATTAAACATCTCTACAATCATCATGTGACAATTTGAGCCGCTTCATACAATTTTACATTATTTTATTAAATAGATGTTATCATAATATAATTTTAAAAGTGAACAATCTTACAGCAAATTTATCAGCAGCGACATTAGATTCAGGCCTCTGTTGATCATAATTACAAATTCCACCGTTTTTGCATTCACATACGAAAACGTTCGGCTGAAGAGCAACCGTTGCAGAGCGTTCATCACTGGCGATAATTGTAATTTGCGCCTTTGAAGTGTTTAGTGGTGTCCACGTAAACAAACCAGCTGGCATAAACAAATAATAACATGCCATTATTATATAACATACGTTAACAATATTCAACTACGAAAAAGTATACCCGGAAATATATACTATAGTGTGAACGATACGTAATCATTATATTTTATACATGAACTTTGAAAGGGCACAGCCAAAAGTACACTTGAACAAAATTCGTCAGATTATGCAACAAACAAATTACATATTCAATGAATTGTTAAATATAATTAAAAATGCGAACGACGATCAACTACAAGCAATGCAAGTAAACAAGTAGGTAATGTCGTAGGTTGTAATACCAGAATTATAGTATGATAAACTTACAATCCGATTGGATACTTGCATCATTTGTATTCGTTAGCAACGAATACGTTACATTTCCTCCTTCCGGATCCCTAGCAGTGATATTAAGTTTCACTGATTGGTTAACCTGCACCTTTATTTCCTGTGGTCCGTCAATTATGTATGGTGGAAAGTTCTCTGTAACAAAGAAGCGAAAGAAGGAATAGCATCAAATTAAATTAATGAAGATCTTAGTTTATTCCACTCTGGGAATTTGATAGACTCGATGCACATACACTGGGTTATTTTAAAGGAAAAAAAAAATTAGACAGCATGTTATTGTAAAATATGATGAAGACGATAACAATGCTAAAATTAATACTAATAACAATAATAATAATTATTATTTCTGAAACTATTAATAAAACCATTCAAATCCATGGGCGCTATGTACACGGTATATTATATAACTCTCTAGAATGTCATTGCACTTAATTGAATGATTCCAGTAGTTTGGACGTCCTTCTTGTATGTTATTTATATAATGTTCTTCCAAATTTCCAAAATAACATTATATGTACTTACCAAGTTTTTCAGCGGTATCCTTGTTTACATCGTTTGTTGTCTTCGTATTTTTGGCAATGTCCTCGTTTCCAGTGACAAGTCCGTCGTATAGGCAACTTACGTCCGTCCCACATATATTTGTAAAATTAGCTTGACTCACTGTCGACACAGATGCCAACACTTCGTCTAAGAATATCGGTGTGAACCCTAAATTATTAAATGTGTTCCAGCTTTCCCCTTGCATGTAATAAAACAGGGACGAGTTTTGCGTAGTTCTCCCTACAATCAGAAAATGGAGAGTTTAAATCGAAATGTAATGTTAAACTCCTAAGCCTCCAAACGCGACTGGTGCACATTGGTCGATCGACCAAATTAGTTTTCGCTCATTGTGTGCGCTTGCGGTAACGCCATTAATTTTCGCTGACCGTCGGTTACTTTGAATAGATAGTGTCAAAGAACCGCGTTGGATGCTTACGTCGACGCTACAGATTCAATATTGGCTTTATATTGCATAAGTGGTTAGAAGTTCAAATGCGTAATGAAAAGGTATAAAGTATTAATTTCAATACAATTACTGTATATTAAAAGCATTAGAACGTTAGAACAACTTAAAAGTAGATGTGTTCAATTTATAGAACATATAATATTATGTTCCATCATGTTATCGGCGGGTTTACTTATTGCAAGATGTACGGTAAGAAAAAAAAAATGATGCATAGTGGCTCTATACTACTAAACCAAATAGGTATAAAAATAAAAATGTGTATATCTCCTTGGATTAACTATATTCCGTTGCTTTATATTCATTAGATGTTAATCCACATATTATATTTGTGAATATAAAATTGATGTCAAGCCTGGTTTCCATAAAATCGCTACAGTGTGTCAGAGCAATCGTTTTACTACGTAGCTGTCCCCGACGCAGTTGGGAAGGCTCCCGATTTGACCGACCAGTCAGAATCAAGCCTTTTTTCCTTAAAATCGGTACACTGTAGTATTTTCAGTGCAATTGTTGCACTCCGTAGCTGTCACCGATGCAATTTGAAAGGCTCCCCGATTCGACCGACCAATCAGCATCACCGAAATCTGTCGGTGATTGCGTGTAGCGATTGTATGGAAACCAAGCTATAGAGATTAAATGTTGTCCTACATGTTTCTCCATAAAGAAATATAGCATGTTCACTGCTGTTTGCCGCCAAAATACTTCCATTTTCATAAGTAAAATCATCATCGATGTTACCATTCCAAACTCCTATTTGGAAAATTAAAAGAAAATTATTCAGATAAGAATAAAGAAAATGATGACAACAACAATAGTAAGGATGTTATAATCATCGTTTACTCCCAGTAATGTAACCTTTCATCTTTTTTGTAAAGTATTACAGGATGTACAAATAAGCTCAAATAATAAGCAATTATTAGAGCTACGCATAGTACACTATAGGAAAATTATTATACGACGGTTAGATTTTTATGCTTGAAAAAAATTCCTGAGGGCCTGCAAAGGCCGAAGGAAATTTTTGAATGCATTAAATCTAACCTAAGTATAATAATTTTCCATTTTGTGTACGATGCATGCTCTACCAATTGCTTTATAAGTCAATCGCCGTCTTTTAATTTTATTTTTTTTATAATCAACTGTTGATTGATCAGTATACGTGTGCGTATTTACATTTAGCTGTGCGTATGCTGAATTTTGCTCCTGCAGTACGCGTTTAACTACACATCAGCAGTACGTGTCAGTACGGATAGGTTGAACTATTGTAATTTCTATTGTGTTAGAAAGAACTTGTTTGTAATGCTATTTTGATAGACTTTCGCCAAAGAAATAAACATTTCTTAAATAATTTTGATGTTGAAAATATTTATAGTTGGTCACTCTCGTGTAGATGTTCCTTTTGTAGAGAGTAGTTGTTCTGTTTCTGTACTGTTTTGGGTTGACCAACCTGCATAGGTGTTTAGCACCTGTTTGGTCTTTCCTTGCCATGTTTGCTTGTTGTTTTGTGCTTGGCAGAAATTTGAATAAAATAAATAAATAATTAAAAATTTCAGCATTCGAGAGAGAATACAGTCACTGACGTCGTTTTTGGTCGGTGCATGCAGACAGGTAAAATCGCCTACATATAAATTTGTTACTTGAGTCTTTAAAATAGGTCTAGAATATTCTTATTAAATGTTCAGTTTGTTGTGTTGTGTTGTGAGGGTCCATTGATTCAATAAATTCCTTAATTGTTTATACTTAATATTGAATTTGAAGTAACTTTCTTTGGGTTCTAATTAAATTTGTTTTACGAAAGTAATTTTCAATTACAATTCAATTTTTATAGCGGTGCGCGATGTCTTCGAGGTGACGAAAAAAAAATGAGAAATTTGTTTTTGCACACGAACCTAAAAAAATCAAGCTAAGCGTCCACTAATTGAAAAACTAGTGGACGGTGTAGGGGAATAGGCAAATAACATTGGGAGTTACAGTGATGACGTCACGATTGACTTATAAACAGTTTTAGTAGTTGTAGTCAGTCCTTATTGTTTTGATGTAGTACACCACTATCGATCATCCAGCTAGCACACACAACCAACAACCATTTCACTTATTTTAACACTGAGTAACAGTGTGTGGCTAAATAAGTGAATTGTAGGCCTACAGCAATGCGTCTTTCGTATTCATTGTCTATACTGCGTGGTACAATAGATCAAATAATATTCCATGTTATCAATGGTCAATAGTCATTCTTAATGTTTCACCTTGTAAGAATAATACAAATTCTGTCTTAGTCTTGTTACTCGTACTGTAATGTTGCACTTAAGCTGTTAAAAATGTAAATGAAAATACACTTTACCATAACATTTTGTTTTTAGAAATGTCATTAAGACCAGGGACACTGGTCTTAATGACAGCCGCGGCTCCCCCTTTGTACACAGTGTTGTTTTTAGAAATGTCATTAAGACCAGGGACACTGGTCTTAATGACAGCCGCGGCTCCCCCCTTTGTACACAGTGTTACAATTTTAAAGCTTATTCTTGAGCCAATACAAATTCTTTCCTGGGATCACTCAAAATGAATACTTCTAAAACATGTAAATATGCATCAGTACACGTTATACATAGGCATAATAGAACATAGGCCTAAGCGTGATTTAAAAAAATCTTAAATCCATAAATCTCAGGCCAGGTCTTTTAAGATAGAAATGCGATACTGTGGTTCAATTTCGTTTTTATCCTTTTGCAAGTTTCTTTAAATGTTTGTTTAATAATACTACTACTAATAGTAATAATAATAACAATGATGATGACAATAGTAAAAATTGATATTAATATTAATAACAATAAAAAGTGAAGAAAATTGTGCTAAATGCGAAAAAAATGTTGTGATTGGTTGATTATAATATAGTATATATAGATAAAGCTTAGTAAGCTATAATTATGCCTAAGTTGTCCTGGATATTAAGTAGATCCCTGATTAAAGATCATGAGAAATTTGTTGGCGTTTCATTTTGACTATAATGGTAATGTGATGATGATGAATTTTACTATATAAAAGTGTCATTTCCGGCCATCTAGAGAGGTACTATTTCCTCAAATTTCTCACCTCAGCCCCGGCCATGGTGGGGCTGAGGTGGTTGTGAAATCACGTTTTTGAAGTAGGCCTATGTAAATTACATACTCAAAGACAATGTTTTTAAGCTTTGTTTTCTATGGTATACACACACACATTAATAAGATCTCTATGGTTGTCAAAAATCCCTGATGAAAGATCATGAGAATTTTTTCTGGCGCTTCATTTTGACTAATGGTGATGTGATGATGATGAATTTTACTAAAAGTGTCATTTCTGGCCATCTAGAGGTACTATTTCCTCAAATTTTCTCACCTCAGCTCCAACCATTGTGGGGCTGAGGTGGGTGTCGACTCACAAAATGCCCTCCTCCTCCTCCACCTTTCAAAACAGATCTGTGCCCTTCCCTGGGTATGACATTAAACTCCATCGAGTCGGTCCTGATGTATGTCTTAGTTTTTAGGATGTGATCTGGTTTTTCATGTCCATTTTTCGTGATTATGACTTCTGGATGAAGAATGTTTTGAGCAGAGGTGGATTCAAGCCACCAAAGAATTTTAATTTCTGCTGACATAAAAACCCCTGTTGTAAATATTTTAAGTTCATTAGGGTGGAGTAAACTTAGTGATAAATGGGACGAACAATTGCTCATAATGATTTTCAAATGTTTAAATGGTCATGCTCCATCCTATTTATCTAAGAATTTTGCTTTTAATTATGATTTGCATACGCATTGTACCCGCAGTCAAAGTAAAAACACTCTTATTGAATACACCTGGAATAATATGCAAGGTAAAAGAACTTTTGTTTACCGTTCTACAAAATTATGGAATAAACTCCCGGATGATATTAAAACCAACTTTAAATCTGTGACACTTTCAAATTTTAAGCATTCTATTTCAAATCCTCACCAATAATCCCTGCTTAATCTTACCTGATTTTCTCTTACCTTGCATATCCCCATTTTTATTATTCAAAATTTTGTTTCTACCTATGTTTCTTTTATTTTTATATGTGTATATGTATGTATGTGTATTTTTATATATGTATGTGTGTGTATGTTTGTGTATGTATGTATATTTATATACATATGTATGTGTGTGTGTATGTATGTGTATATGTGCGTATATGTATATGTATGTATGTATATATATATATATATACATTTTTAATTTGTAGTTAAGTTTTTGCTCTCTTTGTTATTTTCTGCTTTTAAAATGTTTTTGTAGATAAGAACTGAACCACTTTGGAAATCAGTACTATGTGTATATTCAGTATAAAGAAAGAATAAATAAATAAAATAAAAAAGCCCCCCCCCCCTTCAAAATATATTCAAATTGAAGTGCGAGAGTGTAATTTCCGGCCATCTAGAGATGCCCTAATCATAAATTTTCTTACCTCAGCCCCAACCATGGTGGGGCTGAGGTGGGTGGTTTCTTGGTCTGTGAAAGTCCCTCCCTGGTTCACCTCTCTTTCGAATTCCTGGATCTGCCACTGTTGATTTATTATATAATTATTTTTGCGCTTATTTATAATGCGTCTATTGCAATTTTCACTTTATCCTCTCAAACAGTCCTAAGAACGTTCAGAGTGCGCTACTTCACAGGGGGATTCGCCCCCTTGATCCCGCCGGTGTCATACGTAATTCGCATAACGGCTCCCCCATTTCAAAATCCTGGCTACGTCCCTGATTAAGACCAATGATCTTGATAACGTTTCAGATAAAGCTGTCTATTTTAGGTCTATGTTTAAACGATTGATAGAATAGTTGTGCAAATATTTTTGTTATGATTTTAATTGAATAAGTAAATCCTTGCCGAGCACAGAGCTCATAGGGCTGCGAGCTTATCTCCAGTTTCTGTGCGTGAAGCGGATGAGAGTGCACTCCTCCTGGGTGGGACCTTGTCCACCACAGGTACGTGACTCACAGCAATATGCTAGTACCCATTGATACAGCTCAGTTATAAAATAATGTAGATAAAGTGCCTTTCTCAAGGACACAAGCTAATGCACAGCGGTTTAAAACTCTGACCTTGAGGTGGTTCGGAAACCAAACCATTTCCACTGCGCTAAACCTCTTCCACAATATTGATTACAGTACTACGTAATTATTTCTGGTTTTATTATTTATTGCATTGAAAGTATCACTTACCTAATAATCCTTTGGTTTTGTTCATAAATTCCTCTGGAATTGAAACTACGATCTCTAGCATGTCGAGTAAAGGCGAAACAGAAATTGCAAACCCAGAAGACCACAGTGCCACAATATAATCTTTGTCATTACTAATTTTCAATTGAACAGAAAAATTTGGATCTTCAGGTGGGATGTAGACACCTGTTCCAAACAGAACAAAGGAAAGACAATTAATTATTGTGCAGACATATATATAGGCCTATATATACAGTGTATATATATATATATATATATATATATATATCAAGATAGCAGTTAACACTGTTAAATTATATAATAATCATCAAAGAAAGGTAAATACAGTGTTAGAATAAGGACATAATAATACATCGTGTAGCATAGCTTTAATGCTATAGTAGTCCTGTAATAAATGAATAAAGAAATAGTGTAATAAAATGACTCTGGCGGGACTCGAACCTGCGACCTCTCGCTGTCAAGGCGAGCGCCATAACCATATATATATATATATTTCATTGGTTCTTATTGCAATGGATGTTACCTCCTCTAGTGTTGCCAAGTCCTCTACTGTTGTCGACGGTATGGTTGTTGCATCAACCAATGTAGTTCGCTTAGCTTCACTTGTTACTTCATCAGCTGTTATCACCTCCTCTACTGTTATCAAATCAGCAACCGCTCTCGATGGTATTGTTGTTATATCAATTAGTGTTGTTAGATCAAATTCACTCGTTAACTCATTAGTTGTGGTATCTATTGATGTTAGCTCCTCTACCGTTGTCAACTCATCTACGGTCGTCGATGGTGTCGTTGATTCATCAAGAAAGGTAGTTTGATCAGCATCACTCGTTACTACAGCGGATGTGATAGCAATGGATGTTACTTTCTCTAATATTTTCATATCATCTACCTTTGTCGACGGTATGGTTGTTGCATCAACAAATGTAGTTCGCTCAGATTAACTTGTTACTTCATCAGCTGTGATATCTATTGAGGTTACCTCCTCTAGTGTTGTCAAATCACCAACCGTTGTCGATGGTATTGTTGTTATATCAATTAGTGTTGTTAGCTTAACTTCACTCGTTAAATCATCAGTTGTGATATATATTGATGTTAGCTCCGCTACCGTTGTCAAATCATCTACTGTTGTCGATGGTATCGTTGATGCATCAAGCAAGGTAGTTTGATCAGCATCACTCGTTACTTCAGCGCTTGTGATAGCAATGGATGTTACCTCCTCTAATGTCGTCAAATCATCTACTGTTGTCGAAGGTATGGTTGTTGCATCAACAAATGTAGTTCGCTCAGCTTTACTTGTTACTTCATTAGCTGTAATATCTATTGAGGTTAAATTCTCTACTGTTGTCAAATCATCAACCGTTGTCGATGGTATTGTTGTTATATCAATTAGTGTTGTTAGCTCAACTTCTCTCTTTAAATCATTAGTTGTGATATCTATTGATGTTAGCTCCTCTACCGTTGTCAAATCATCTACTGTTGACGATGGTATCGTTGATGCTACAAGCAAGGTAGTTTGATCAGCATCACTCGTTACTTCAGCGGTTGTGATAGCAATGGATGTTACCTTCTCTAATGTTGTCAAATCATCTACTGTTGTCGACGGTATGGTTGTTACATCAAGAAATGTAGTTCGCTCAGCTTCACTCGTTACTTCATTAGCTGTGATATCAATTGAGTTTACCTCATCTACTGTTGTCAAATCCCCAACCGTTGTCGATGGTATTGTTGTTATATCAAGTGTTGTTAGCTCAACTTCACTCGTTAACTCATTAGTTGTTTTATCTATAGATGTCAGCTCCTCTACCGTTGTCAAATAATCTATTGTCGTCGATGGTATCGTTGATGCATTAATCAAGGTCATTAGATCAGCATCACTCATTACTTTAGCGGTTGTGATATCTATAGATGTGACCGTTCCTATTGTTTTAAAATCATCAACCGTTGTCGATGGTATGGTTTTTGCATCAACAAATGTAGTTTGCTCATCCTCACTTGTTACTTCAGAGCTTGTGATAGCTATTGATGTTAAATCGTCTACTGTTGTAGAATCATCATCAATACACTTGATATACATCATCTACTGTTGTCAAATCACCAACCGTTGTCGATGGTATTGTTGTTATATCAAGTGTTGTTAGCTCAACTTCACTCGTTAACTCATTAGTTGTTTTATCTATAGATGTCAGCTCCTCTACCGTTGTCAAATAATCTATTGTCGTCGATGGTATCGTTGATACATTAATCAAGGTCATTAGATCAGCATCACACATTACTTTAGCTGTTGTGATATCTATAGACGTGACCGTTCCTATTGTTTTCAAATCATCAACCGTTGTCGATGGTATGGTTTTTGCATCAAAAAATGTAGTTTGCTCATCCTCACTTGTTACTTCATCGCTTGTGATAGCTATTGATGTTAAATCGTCTACTGTTGTAGAATCATCTACTGTTGTCGACGGTATCGTCGTTAAGTCAAATGGTGTGGTTAGGTCAGTGTCAATTGTTATTTCATTGTTTTTGATTGCAATGGATGTTACCTCCTCCTTTAATGTTGTCAAATCATCTACTTTTGTCGACGGTATGGTTGTTGCATCAACAAATGTAGTTCGCTTAGCTTCACTTGTTACTTCATCAGCTGTGATATCTATTGAGGTTACCATCTCTACTGTTGTCAAATCACCAACCGCTGTCGATGGTATTGTTGTTATATCATATAGTGTTGTTAACTCAACTTAACTTGTTAACTCATTAGCTGTGATATCTATTGATGTTAGCTCATCTACCGTTGTCAAATCATCTACTGTCGTCGATGGTATCGTTGATGCATAAATCAATGTAGTTTGATCAGCATCACTCGTTACTTTAGCGGTTGTGATATTTATAGATGTTACCTTTCCTATTGTTGTCAAACCATCAACAGTTGTCGATGGTATGGTTTTCGCATCAACAAATGTAGTTTGCTCATCCTCGCTTGTTACTTCATCGGTTGTGATAGCTATTGATGTTAAATCGTCTACTGTTGTATAATCATCTACTGTTGTCGACGGTATCGTTGTTAAATCAAATGGTGTAGTTAGGTCAGTGTCACTTGTTATTTCATTGGTTGTGATAGCAATGAATGTTACCTCCTCTAATGTTGTAAAATCATCTGCTGTTGTCGACGGTATGGTTGTTGCATCAAAAAATGTAGTTCGCTCAGCTTCACTTGTTACTTCATCAGCTGTGATATCTATTGAGGTTACCTCATCTACTGTTGTCAAATCATCAACCGTTGTCGATGGTATTGTTGTTATATCAATTATTGTTGTCAACTCAACTTCACTTGTTAACTTATTAGTTGTTATATCTATAGATGTCAGCCCCTCTAACGTTGTCGAATCATCTACTGACATCGATGGTATCGTTGATGCATCAATTAAGGTTGTTTGATTAGCATCACTCGTTATTTTAGCGGTTGTGATATCTATAGATGTTACCTTTTCTATTGTTGTCAAATCATCTAATGTTGTCAACGGTATAGTTGTTGCATCAACAAATTTATTTTGCTCATCTTCACTTGTTACTTCATCGGTTGTGATAGCTATTGATGTTAAATCGTCTACTGTTGTATATTCATCTACTGTTGTCGATGGTATTGTTGTTAAATCAATTAGTGTTGTTAGCTCAACTTCAGTCGTTAACTCATTAGTAGTGAATCAAGGTAGTTTGATCAGCATCACTCGTTACTTCAGCGCTTGTGATAGCAATGGATGTTACCTCCTCTAATATTGTAAAATCATCTACTGTTGTCGACGGTATGGTTGTTGCATCAAAAAATGCAGTTCGATCAACTTCACTTGTTACTTCTTCAGCAGTGATATCTATTGAGATTACCTCCTCTACTGTTGTAAAATCACCAACCGTTGTCGATAGTATTGTTGTTATATCAATTAGTGTTGTTAGCTCAACTTCACTCGTTAACTCATTAGTTGTTATATCTATAGATGTTACCTTTTCTATTGTTGTCAAATCATCTAATGTTGTCAAAGGTATAGTTGTTGCATCAACAAATTTAGTTCGCTCATCTTCACTTGTTACTTCATCGGTTGTGATAGCTATTGATGTTAAATCGTCTACTGTTGTATATTCATCTACTGTTGTCGATGGTATTGTTGTTTTATCAATTAGTGTTGTTAGCTCAACTTCAGTCGTTAACTCATTAGTAGTGATATCTATTGAGGTAAGCTCCTCGACCATTGTCAAATCATCTACTGTCGTCGATGGTATGGTTGATGCATCAATCAAGGTAATTTGATCAGCATCACTCGTTACTTTAGCGGTTGGGATAGCTATAGATGTTACCTTTCCTATTGTTGTCAAATCATCAACCGTTGTCGATGGTATGGTTTTTTCATCAAAAAATGTAATTTGCTCATCCTCACTTGTTACTTCATCGGTTGTGATAGCTATTGATGTTAAATCGTCTACTGTTGTAGAATCATCTATTGTTGTCGACGGTATCGTCGTTATATCAAATGGTGTAGTTAGGTCAGTGTCACTTGTTATTTCAGTGGTTGTAATAGCATTGGATGTTTCCTCCTGTAATGTTGTCAATTCATCTATTGTTGTCGACGGTATGGTTGTTGCATCAACAAATGTAGTTGGCTCAGCTTCACTTCTTACTTCATCTGCTGTGATATCTATTAAGGTTACCTCCTCTACTGTTGTCAAATCACCAACCGCTGTCGATGGTATTGTTGTTATATCAATGAATGTTGTTAGATCAACTTCACTCGTTAACTCATTAGTTGTGATATCTATCGATGTCAGCTCCTCTACAGTTGTCAAATCATCTACTGTCGTCGATGGTATCGTTGATGCATCAATCAAGGTAGTTTGATCAGCATCACTCGTTACTTCAGCGCTTGTGATAGCAATGGATGTTACCTCCTCTAATATTGTCAAATCATCTACTCTTGTCGACGGTATGGTTGTTGCATCAAAAAATGTAGTTCGCTCAACTTTACTTGTTACTTCATCAGTAGCTCAACTTCACTCGTTAACTCATTAGTTGTTATATCTATAGATGTCAGCTCCTCTAAAGTTGTCAAATCATCTACTGACTTCGATGGTATCGTTGATGCATCAATCAAGTTTGTTTGATCAGCATCACTCGTTACTTTAGCTTTT